TATTTGATTGTTAATTGCCTTTGAGTCAAGCATGACTTATAGAGACCCTATGAACAAAAAGCTTGAAGCCCCTCTACAACTATCGACATTTATCAAAGTTCATAGAGTTTCTGGAGGCATGTTATTTAGGAAGTGGATGCCACTCCTGCTATCTCTCTCTCTCTCTCTATCTATCTATCTACCACTATTGTTGTTATATAGCTGTTGTTTTAGTTATGTGCCCCACTCTATCAATCTATCTCACTCAGAGTCTTCCTGCCTGCAGTATCCCTCCACCCTTCCAATAATGATGTCTTTCTTTAAGAAACAGTCCCTCCAAGCAACATGTCCAAAGTATGTGAGGCAGATCTTAAAAATATTTGCCTCTAAAGAGCAACTTGGCTTCATCTTCTCCAGCACAAACCTGTTTGTTCTCTTGGCAGACTATGTAGTGTTCAATACTCCTCTCCAGCACCACAACTCAAATGCATCTATTCTGTCTTAATTTGTCGCTGTTCAGCGCTCTGATACACAGCAAGTAACTGCAAAGACCATGGCCTGGATCAGGCACACCTTAGTCTCTAGATTGATATCTTTGCTCTTTAGCACTCCAGAGAGGTCCCTGAGGACAGATTTTTCCCAGTGCAATTTGGCTTTTTATTTCCTGAGTGCTGCTGCCAAAAGTTGTTGATTTTGGAACCAAGGAAGCTAAGATTAACAGTCTCAATCTCTTCTCCATCTATCATGATGCTTCCAAATGGTTCACAGGTGAAAATCTTTGTCTTGATGTTGAGCTTCAATCCATAGTGAAGTCTGTACGCCTTGATCCAGCAGCAAAGGTTTCAAGTCCTCTTCAGTTTCAGCAAGCAAGATTGGGTCATCGGCATAACACAGGTTGTTGATGAGTCTTCCTCTAATTCTGGTGCTAAATTCCTCCTCATAAAGACCAGCCTCCTAAATTATCTGTTCCACATATAGGTTGAAAAGGTATAGAGACAGGATGCATCATTAACTCCTGTCCTGATTTAGAACCATGCAGTGTTTCCCTGCTGTGTTCTGAGGACTGCTTCCTGGTCCAAGTACAGGTTTTGCACAAGCACAACCAAGTATCCTCAGGGTCAGCCAAAATCTGTTGTGATCTACCTGTTCAAATGCCTTTGCAATTGCCAATGAAACACAGATAGACATTCTTCTGGTAAGCTTTGTTTTCAGCCAACATCCATCTGTCATTGGTGATATGTCCCTAATGCCACAGCTCCTTTTAAACTCAGTTTGTATTTATGGTAGTTCTCTATTGATGTATTGTTCCAGCCATTTATATAATCTTCCCCAAGATTTTACTTGTGTGTGATATTAGTGATATTGTTTGATAAATTCTACTCTCTGTTAGATCATCTCTTTTCACAATAGGAATGAATAGGGATCTCTTCTGGTTAGTTGACCAGGTAGTTGTCCTCCAGATTTCTTGGCACAACCTGGTGAGCACATCCAGGACTGCATCTATGTGTTGAAATATGTCAACTGGTAGTCCATTAATTCCTAGGGCCTTGTTTTTCATCAATTTCTTCAGAGCAGCCTGAACTTCCTCCTTCATCACCATTGTCTCTTTATCATATGTTGTTTCATGAAATTATTCTGAGTCTGTCAATTCTTTTTGATACAGTGACTCTGTATACTTCTTTCATCTTTTAATTCTTCCTAGATCATTCAAATTTTTCCCCTATCATCTTTAATTATTTCAACTTGAGGCTTGAATTTTTTTCTTCACTTCCTTCAGCTTAATAAATGCCTAGTGAGTTTGTGCCTTCTGATTTTCTGATGCCTCTTCTTTGTACATTTCATTGTTGTTGTTTTATTTTTTTTTTTTTGTCTTCTTGAGCTGCTCTTTGAACTCTTCTGTTAGGCTACTTAGCTTCCTGATTCTGTCCTTTGTCTTGTCTTGTTGGCATTCCAGTGCAACATTCAGAGAGTCTTCTTACATTCTTTTCAGTTTTTTTTATTTCCCCTACATCTTTGAAAGGATCATTTGCATTTTTCATGGATTATTTTATATCTATCTATTTAGATCTTCCCACAACTCATCTAGTCTTCATTCACTAGTGTTCAAGGCCTTAAATTTATTCTTCGGATGGTTTTTAAATTTAGGTGGGATAGGCACAAGCTCAAATTTTGGTTCTTATGGATTTAAGTTTCTTTAGCTTCAGTTTGAACTTGCCTATGAGTAGCTGATGATCTGTTCCATGATCAGGTCTTGGCCTGTTTTTACAGCTGATACTGAGTTTCTCTATTGAATCTTTCCACACATGTAATCAATCTGATTACTGTGCAGATCATCAGGTGAGATCCATGTGTATAGTCGCTGTTTGTATTTCTCATAAAATGTATTTGCAATGGATAAATCATTGATTGTACAAAATTCTATCTTTCTATCTCCAGCCTTATTTCTGTCACCACATTCATCTTTTCTGACTATTGATACTTCTTCCTTGTGTCAAACTTTTCCATTCCAGTCCTCTATTATTATCAATGCCCCTTGATTACATGTTTGATTGATTTCTGGCTGCAAAACTTGATAGAAATATTTTCCTTCCTCCTTTTCTAGCTCTCACTATTGGTGTATGTATTTGAATGATAGTAGTATTAACAGGTCTTCCTTGTATGTGTATGAATATTATCCTGTCACCACACTATACTTCAGGAATGAATATATAAATTATCTAGAAATTACCATTTCTAGAAATGGTCTTTTTAATTATGAATGTAAGTCCTCTACAAAGTGATGAGACCCTAAATCTTTATAATGGTTAATGAAACATCCAATGAACTTATTTCTATTGACAACTCTTAGGAGATCATCAACACCTGATCTCATTTGGATGTGCTTCTGTGGAGGTGGGAGCAAAGCCATCTTGCTGTTTTGCCATTGAGAAATGTCCACATCAGTGTTTCACCTACCCCAGCTGTGACTATAAAACCTTGGTGGAAGGAAAAGAAATGCCTCCTCAAAATTGTGGAGTACTCCTATTCTTGACCTACAGTTTTAAGTTTTGCTTGAGATTTTGGTGTAGAACATTTATTTTGGTAAGAAATACATTGCTTGTTGTGTTACTCAAGGCGCTCCGGTGGTATGTTACATGTTGTGATGCTGACTGAAAGTTGGCAGTTAAAATCCACCAGTTGCTCTGAAGAAGAAGAATGGGCAGTTTCATCTAGTCAAGACTTAAAGCCTTGAAAATCTGATGGAGGATGACAAGAAGCCAGAACAGACTCAGTGGCAGTGAATTTGGGTTTATTGTGTTAGCTAGAGTTTTGAGGTAGAAAATAATCTTTTCTTCAGAGAAAGAAGACATATGACATTATTAGTGGTGGATTTTTTTTCTTTTCAGTAACAAACTTCTAACCAAACTCTTAAAATTTATTCATAAGGATAAAACTCTATTTGTGCAAAAAAGATTCTGTATAATTTTTTAAACTGTAATTTTTAATGTAGAAAGATTATGTGAGCATGTATCAAAGTCTGAACAGTTAAGTAATTAATAACCTTTTTCCTCAAAAATATTCTCTCATGTAAATATTTTGTTATTATGTACAACTGAGTAAAAATTGACTCAAAGCTGACACTCTAGTGGGGTTTCAGGGTCTGTAACTCACAGTAGAGGAGACTGCCATTCCCTCGCCCCCCAAGGAGCAGCTGTTGGATTCGAATGATGAGCATTTGGGTTGGCAGTATAACTCTATTACTAAACCACCAGAAATTTCTAAGCTAAGAAATTACAAAATCATACCTTGTTATAATATTCACCAAATGGCTGTTGTATTTCTTGTACTCCAGGAGGACCCTGTTATAGAAATAAATCAGAATTATTTTGTAAACAGTTAGCAAAACAACATGAATTTAAATAAACATCTGAGAATTCTTGAAATCTTACTGTAAGAAAAAAGGAGAATCCATTTAGTCAATCATTCTAATTAATGGAGAATAACATGAAAAGAACTAATGTTCAGATTCCTAAGAACAGGATAAGCTTTAGTCTATTATTCATGGTTGGTTGGAGTCAACAAGATGGCATTTAATAATCCCAAAGATATCTCCAAGAAGCTTTGGTGATGAAGTGGTTGAAGAATTCAGTTGCTAATCAAAAAGTTGGTAGTTTAAACCCGTTTGCTGTTCCATAGGAGACAGCTGAGGCAGTCTGCTTCTATAAATATTTGTTGTTGTTGCTAAGTGCCGTTGAGTGATAGGCAACTCATAGCGACCCTATGAACGAAAGACCTGAACACGTGTATTACTCTTATCATTTCTCCAGGTTCATAGGGTTTCTGGAAGCAAGCTATTTTGGAAGAGGATGCCATTCCTGCTTGTTTTAACTGGGGAGTTCTACCAAACACTGTCCACGATGGGTAGTCCACCAGGCAGTCCTAGCAAACTAAGACAGATTCCATATTTATTGATGTGCTTGGAAATATTTAATGACTCAAGGCAAATTTTAGGCATCATATGTTGTAACAACATCAGATAGAGTAGGAGTGTCTGCATAGCAGAAACACATTTAGAAAATGTGTCTCATTACAAGACCAGTTAATGGGTAACCATTATCTCGTTTGACGCATCAGTTTCACAGAGTTCAGCATCACAGCAACCACAAGTTAACCGCTGTACAGCAAATGGACAGACCAGGGCTATATGACCTAGAAGAATGTTTGACCAAAAACAATTACAACCAGGCCTGAGTGCCATGGATTAAAATCATCCACCTTTGGCTTGGTAGCATCACTTTCTGTACACTAGGCCAAATGAGCTCTATGTTGTTGTTGTTAAGTGCTGTCAAGTTGTAGGTGACTTATAGTGATCCTATCAATATTTACCACCTTGAAAATTCCATGGGGCTGTTTCACAGAATTGCTACGAGTTGGAATCGTCTCAGTGGCAGTTTCTTTAAAAGGCATTTTTAGATTAAATATTGCATGAATCGAAAGAGGAGTTCTAAGTAGGAATAGGTAACATTTTACCAGAAGACTACCAACAGCATATTTTTTTTAAATTAAAAACATCATACTTATAAAACTGAAGGAAGCTTTAATTTCTTTTTATAAGTACTCACAGGACATTGATCAATATGTTATAGAAATGTGTACCCCTAGGTGACATTAACTTAGAAAACAGGGGATAAACTTTGCTTTTTCTATTGCTTTAATCCTCTGAGGGAGTTCTGTGTAAATGTACATAAACATTCAGATTAGAAAAAAGAGACCTGCTATAAAAGTACAAAGTTCATTAGGCATTTAAATATTGATACTTTTTTTCATTGGCAAATAAATCCACTAAGCTCTATGCTGACTTTTTGGTGGATAAAAAGCAAAAAGACTCATTTGTGCCTAAGACTTCTAATAGAGAGGAAGTGAAGAAATTTCTAAGCTTTTGGAAGATTATATTTTAGGGTAGGGGCCATAATAAAATGTAAAGAGTAATTTAAATCAAGTAGTTCAAACCAAGATAAATTCTATTCTCTCTTAAAAGGGACTTGTAACTCACCTAAAGTTAAAATCTAGGAAAAGGGAGAAAATTATAGATGTCTTTACATTTTACCTTGGAAGATAAGGAACAGAAAGTATTATTAAGGAAATAAAGTATCATTTTTATGTTTGAAAAAAAAAAGCAAGCTTTGAAAGTGAATAAAAATGTTAAGGAACCATCAGTAGCTGCATTTAGGGATAGTTTTATGAAAAGCCTTATTGTTGGTTAGCACTTTTGACAGGTATTCTGTATGGATGGCTTGCACCTGAAAAGCTCATCTAATATGAAATGCTTACATCGTGCCACTAAATGTAGAGGACACAAGGATGTAGTGATGAATGCTTGGAAGCAGTTGGTATAACTCCTGAGAAAATAATAGGCCTCACGAGTAATGGAGCTGACTATGACTGGAAAGACAAACGATGCTGTTACCTCGCTGAAATAAAAACAGAACTAATGCCAGGAAGAATTCTCACGGCATTACATATTTTTCATGTTCTTTTCCCATCAGCCAGGGTTGTGTATTTTAAGACAGTCAAAGGAAGTAATGAGGAAAACAATTGTTGAGGAAGGAGTTGCTGCACAAAGTTTCTAGACAAAAGGATGCAAGTTGAGAACTGTGTCTTGAACCTCTGAAGACAGAAGAAATTATGTTAAAATCCTGCAATAGTGAATGTGATCTTATTTGAAAAAATTGAGGTTGTTTTTGTTTTGTTTTGATTTGTTTTAGGTTTTATCAGGTAATAAAGTCACGCTAAAGTAAGTCCTGTTCCTAATCCCTTCTGAGTGAGGAGAGGATGGATGGACATGCAAATAGCCAAACATAAGCAGGAGAGAGACAGTTAAGGATCCAATTGAAAGCCATGAAATGTCAAGAAATGCCTGAGATGACCATAAAGTGAAGAAGAAAAAGAAGGACAGAGAAAAAGCATCATTCTGTCCCACTCTAGCTTCCACACTGTGGGACAATGCATTTCTGTTCTTTAAAGGCATCAATATAGTGTATTTTTGTTCAGGCCGTCCTAGCAAACTAAGACAGATTCAACACATACTGATGTACCGGGAAATATTTAATTGCTCAAGGCAAATTTTAGGCATCATATGTAGTAACAATGTCAGGTAGAGAAGGAGTCTCTGCATAGCAGGCATTTAATAAATGTCTCATTACAAGACCAGTTAGATCAAAGAGAAACAATGTGATGGGTAAATTTAACCTTATACACATTCATCTTAGTTAAAAGTGAGAGTTTCAATAATTAGGTCTTACCAAATATATTTCAGTAATTAATAAAACAGTCTCTCAAGCAGAACACAAGAATCAGATGCTAATTGCAAACATTTACATAATACTTATTGTGTGCCAGTCATACTAGAGGTTTTATAAGTATTTAACTCTTCTAATCCCTATAATATATGTCAACAGAGAACTGCCAGATGTGCAGGCTGGATTTAGAAGAGGTCATGGTACTAGGGATATTATAGCTAATGTTAGATGGATCTTGGCAAAAAGCAGAGAATACCAGAAGACTGTCTATCTGTGCTTCATTGACTATGCAAAGGCTTTTGACTGTGTGGATCACAATAAGCTGTGGCTGACTCTGAGAAGAATGGGAATCCCAGAACATTTTATTGTGCTAATGAGAAACTTATACTCGGATCAAGAGGCAGTTGTCAGAACAGAGCAAGGAGACACTACATGGTTCAAAATCAAGAAGGGTGTTCGTCAGGAATGTATTTTTTCTCCATACTTTTTCAGTCTGTATGCAGAACAGATCATCTGAGATGCTGGGCTATACGAAGAGGAATGTGGCATCAGGATTGGTGGAAGAATCATCAACAACCTGCGTTATGCAGATGACACAACCCTGCTTGCTGAAACTGAGGAGGACCTGAAGCGCTTGCTGCAGAAGATCAAGGACTACAGCCTCCTATATGGACTGAAACTCATCATCAAGAAAACAAAGATTCTCACCACTGGGCCAATTGGCAGCATCAGTATGGATAGTGGAGATTGAGATAGTTAACAGTTTTAATTTACTTGGCTCCACAGTCAACACTCTTGGTAACAGCAGCCAGGAAATCAAGAGACGAATTGCATTGAGAAAGTCGGCTGTGAGGGACCTCTCAAGAGTACTGAAGAGCAATGATGTCAGACTGGAGACTACGGTGCGCTTGATCCAGGCTATAGTCTTCGCAATTACATGCTATGCATCAGAGAGTTGGACAGTGAATAGGGTTGATAGAAAGAGAATTGATGCCTTTGAGCTGTGGTGCTGGAGAAGAGTGTTGAATATACCATGGACTGCTAGGAGGACAAACATGTCCTGGAGAGGGTGAAGCCAGAAGGTTCTTTGGAGCCAAGGATTCTGAAGCTTCATCTGACATATTTTGGGCATGTTGTAAGGAGGGACTGGTCCTTGGAGAGGGACATCATGTTTGGCAGAGTGGAGGGGTGGTGAAGGAGAGGAAGACCTTTGATGAGATGGATCGATTCTGTGACTGGAACGATGCGAATAAGTGCATTTGAGATAGCCAGGTTGGCACAGGATAGAACAGCATTTAGAGCTCTTGTACATAGGATCGCTATGAGTCACAAGCGACTTAATGGCTCCTAACAACAACAACAATCCCTATAATAACATCATTAGGTATGTACCATTATTATTCATGATTCAAAGGTAATGAAACTAAAGACCAGAACTGTTAACTTATCCAAGGTCTCAACACTGGTAAAATGACAGAGTAACACTTAACATGGGCAATCTGGGCCCAAAATGATATCTCATCTACTGTACTATCTTTGCTTACAAGTGACTTAAAAACTCTCAACATGCTTACAGATTTTTGTCTGTAATTGTTTTAAGTCATGCTTTCACATTTCTTCTATAGAATCCTGGGCAATCACTCTAACACAGTCTATTGAGCATACTGAAACTGAAAACCAAAAATAATTTACATAGCTTGTATGCTGCACTGCATACAAGCTATAGCTGTGGTGTCCTGGTGGGAAGAAACTGTGCTGCAATCCCAAAGGCATTTGGTTGGAATTCCCCACCTGCTGTGCAGGAGAAAGATGGGCAATCTCCTTCTGTGTGATTTACTGACCCTCCAAACCTGCTGGACAGTCAGCTATGGGTTGGTTCTGAATAACAATCACATGATGTTACTTGTTATGTATGGTTGAGTATGAACTGTCCCACAGTCTGACCCTCCAGTGGGTTTTCAGAGACAGTAAATTGCACAGAAAGAGACTTCCCATCTTTCTCCTACAGAGTCACTGGTGGTTTCTGGTGGATTCAAATGAAGTTCCTTCACATTGGGGCA